ATTTTATTAATTATCAATCATTTTTAACAATCAAATTAAATAAAATTATGCTACCTTAATAAAGTAGTGTGTGACCATAACTATACTCCTGAAAAATCATCTTTTATTTTCCTAAAAAGGTCTACAATTTATGATATTTTGATATCATTACATTACATATGTATATACATATAGCTATTTAGCTATTGTTTGAAGGCCAAAAAAAAAAAATCCTTAAAAAGATTTTAAAAAGACCACCCTTTTTTGTGAGGGTGAAAAAGCGAAAGATGAGCATGAGAAGAAAGGCATAAAGAGAAGTTGGCACTACCATCCATCATATTCCCCTTTCTTGATGGTTGATGCTACTCTCAGAAGACAGGTGTTTTTCAAGAGAATCATCACTGTTCTATATCACCGACCTTTATTTTTATTATGTATTTTACTTGTTTAAGATATGGGAAATTATTACTTGTTTTTATTTTTTATTTTTTGGTCATTGTTTGAGATTAAAGCTTCATTCGAAAATATTTCTTAGCACTTTAGTTTTTTTTTTAATTTATTATTATCATCAAAATATTTGAAATATTAATTAAAATAAATAGTAAAATATATTCTATAAATTTTTTGTAATATTAAAAGACCAAAAGACTTTCCGTTACAACCCATTACTCTCAAATAAAGCCTAAATATGAGATAAACATTTTTCAGTTCACACTGGCTGTTGCATGTGAAAAGACAATTTTCTCATCAATGAATGGGAAAGAAAAAGAAAATGATGGACAAAGTCGACCTTTCATGTCCAAACAACTGAAAATAGCCCAAACTGAAAAACATCTTTCTCATTAAATATTAATGGGAGTCTCTTATTTTGCAATTTGAACTGCAAAATAGGGATCACTGGATGGAAGTAAGCCCCCAACCACCCACTCCCATCCAATGGTAGTATTGTGCAGCCCCAAGTCCCCAACAGCACAAAACTTTTTCAATATTAAGGTTATAAAGACCCAAAAATCCTAGGACCTCTGATTTTTGGGTATATGAATTGCATAGATTTTCTCCTTATAATAGAAGATATAAACCTCAGACTTGCACTAAAAATTAGCACAAAGTGCTCATGGACAATGTCTATTCTTTATGTCATACCTTTTCCAAGTTTTAAATTTTGGTTGTATTATTTGTGAATAAACCTGGGTTAGAATCTGATCCCAAAGGTGGCTCAACGAGCAAATAATTGAAAGAAGAATGCTTCCTTTGTCACTGAACTTCAACTTGTTGGTCAAGTCTCTGCACAACATCAAGCTGGTTTTGCCACATGTGCGCCGTCTGTAGTGGCATGTTTAAAGTTGAACAAACCAGGAAGTCCCCTTGCCTTAGAAAGTTGCTCCAGTTCTTCAATTTTATGCCTAAGATGTTCTACTTCATTTCTCAACTCCTCATCTCTTTGTCTCATTGCCTGAAAGAACAGCAAAGAAGTGAGCCAGAGAATTGGCAGGCTTTAGATATCAGTAATCTCCATTCTCAGCAGCAGTAATGTAAGGCTAAGAATTGATCATGCATCAATAGCTTTGATTTTTCACTTTTTTTCCCTACCACCAATATTAACTTGAGTCGTTGGACATATCAGAAAGCCCTTTTATTTATCAATCTCAATACTAACATATCCCTTCACTAATAAATTGGTTTCAACTGACATGACAGTCGAATAACTTAAGGCTAACATATATCATACCAAAAGACATTTTAATGCATCAGGCTTCAAGAAACCTCTCCTCTGATACAAAATAAGAACTTTTATAAGATCTAACATCCTAGCTTTCTAACAAAATTGCAAGTAAAGATCAGTGGGAATCCATTAGTGGGGAGCATAAGAATTGATTCTGTTTCAAGGACGAAGGATATTAAGAAATAATATAAGAGTCAGGTCACTGATCGCAAAAAAAAAAGTTAGATCTATGATGACAATGACACCCTCCTTTGTCTGATAACAAAATTTCATTTTCAATTAATCTATTGGAACCTAAGTGGTGCTCCTCTCTAGAAAGAGCCTCGTTTATTTCTCAGGTTCCATGCACATCATAATATCATTTTACTGTGCATAATGGCAAAGCAAGAGATTGTTATACTTAACAGAAAATAGTATTTCCCACCACTATTTCATAACCTTGATATGGCTATTTTACCATAGGATCCTGATTTTACTTTTGGCAACATTATGTCACCATTTCTATATCATAAAGACAATAAACTTCGATCACTATGTATAATACCCAGACCCACAAGTTTCTTCAAGCAAACATTCAAATTCTACAAGCATTTAAGTTCTGCATTCGAATATTTATGTATCCTTAAATATATATATGTGCAAGTCTCATGTCTCTCCTCCAAGATTCTTTTCCTCAAAACATAATAGAATTAATCATGAAAGAATAAGTTTTCCTTTTCTTTTAAGCTGTTTTACTGTGTGTGACTGTGTTGGTGGTGAGGAGATTAAACTTCATGCTGAAGTCAGAAAGGAAAATAAGCATAAAATGGAGAGGATTATTCAAACATTACTTCCAGTTCTTGTCTGCGTATTTCCTCCTTTCTAGCTTCAGATCTAGCACTTCTTTGAACCTCAAAGATCAAGGCAGCTCCTGCAACCTTCATGAAAACAGATTTAGGTGTAACTTATCAGAAACAACAGTTCATATACAGTTTTGTGTTGAATAGAAGCTGAAGCATTACTGAATAAACATGTATGTTAAGTTCTAAATGCATACAAGAACTAAATTTACATGCATGTAACTCTATGTAAGTAGATTTATACATCCAACTTATATGCATTGAGAGCAAGAATCATGAATTTGATTACCACAAGAATCCTTGCAGAGAATCTTTCTGAAAATCAAAATGCCTACCTGCTTATCCTTAATTTTTTCAACCAGTCAAAATGCAGCAGCATACCATATTACAACCAATCATTTAACCCAAAAAAAAAGAGGGAGATTTTCCACTCATAAGATTTTACTTAAGTCCAACATGACTCATAGTTGTATGCCAGAGAATCTGCTCCAACAAGTAAATAAGATATCTAGTGGCCAAAAACACACCCAATGATGGCCTCAACCATGTTTTTATTATTAGGAACAAAGAATAGTTTAATATGAATCAATCAACAGTCAATCCCACCATGTTACAGTTAAATCAGTGTAACTACAAAAAGAATCAGGGAGAAGAGCAATGTCATACGGAAAAAATAATAAACATATATGAAGTGCATTTGCAAGTGTGAGAGAGATTCAACAACTTGCAAACAATTGTGACTTTACAGGACATAACCACAACCAGATACACCATTTATTTAATTTTCAACAACGAAGATCCAGGGACAAATTCCCCTTTGGATTCAACTGACATCATTGCACTTGTTTACAAGGCATGTACATAAATATAAAAACATGTTAGTGTAATGATTTAATTATTAATTGCATTTTATTTATTCTATAATTTACCTTATATTTTCCCTTTTTGAAAGAAGAGAACTGTTTGTGTTGATTAGTCTACTGCATACGAAAATACAAAGTACAATTACAAGGTTTCACATGTACTACGAAGAGTTACTGGGGATACCGTGAAAACAAAAAGTTCACCAATGAGATCCACAGCAGCCTGAACAGCCTTCGTCTCATCCAAGGGCCGTATCTCAACATCAGTCGCATGACCATAGATACGTCTTTGCATTTTGGTTGAGATTTGATGGTTTGCCTGGTTCGATTAAATAGAGATTAGGAGAAAAACACATTTGGAATCCAGTGAATTATTTGCAGAGTACAAGACTACATGTTCTTTCACAAGTATGCCAAACCATAGAAAATCAAGCTTTAACAAAGTTCATCCTTCCATTTAGAGAAATTTAGTTAATGAACCAATAGAGAAAATAAAATCTCACTGCACCACACATTAAGCATGAATCGGACAGGAAATAAAGAGACGGTGTTAAGGAAGATTTGAAATTTAATAATAGAAGCAAAATCACATCATCCCCTTAAATATCGAAAAAAAAAAAAAAAACCTAGGGAAACCCGTTAATCATAACCAAGATTGATACCCATGCCAATTGAAGGGTACCTGAAATTAAGCAAAAGATCATCATAAACTGGAAAACCTGGGTACCCATTAGCCCATTTTTCCAGTAACACTATGTTGAAGAACGTAAACGTGCAATGCAACTCCGTATAATCCAAACAGATACAGAGGTTTTTCTTTTTTAAGAAGAGCCTACTGAAACAGAAACCGTGAAATGAACAGGATTAAGAAATGGGCACTACAAACTAGAGAAATAGTAAACAATTCTTAACCAGCTACTCATACGGTCATACCCATTTGAGAAAACGCCAAGAAAAGCAAGAGGGTGCGACCTATACCTGAGCAATACTGATGATGAATTCCCGGAACCTGGGATGCACGGCGGCCTGATGCTTGAGCCTAGCAGCCACAGGTTTGCTAAGCGTTTTCAAGGCCAAAGTTCCAAGCTTCAGTAGCGGAAGCACCATTACTGAAATCTGATTCCTAGATCCTCTTTCACTATATCAATCAAAAACGAATCAATGGATCGAGTGGAGGGAAAATTAAATGCAGAGCGTTGCAAGGTCTGACTCGGTCATTTCTTGGCGAGGAAGACAATCTGACAATTTTTTTTTTTTTAATTAGATTTTGCAGACGAAGAGGAGGTCAAAGAGAAGCAGACGCCATTGAGGAATGAGAATGCCAAGCCATGCTGATCTGCTGACCGAATTGGGGGTGATGCAGTTGAACCTGCGATTGGCCGTATGGATGTTCCCATCCGAGGCGGGAATAGGGATAGTTACTATTTAGGGCATGTTTGGTTCAACATTTAGGAGTAGGGATATTTAATTTTGAGGTATATTTGGTAGGTTTGAGATAAAGGGAGAAGATGGGAGGAAAATGAAAAACCTCGTCTCTAAAATACTTTTAATTAATAAAAAAAAAAACGAATTAGTTAAAAAAATAAAATAAGGGTAGTTTCTTTTCTTTCCTTCCTTTCAAAATTTTTTTAACTAAATAAAAGAAATTGCTTTCTCTATTTCTATTTCTTTTAAACTAAATATATTTATATTGCAAATTTAACGAAACAAATAATTTCTACTAGAGATGATTTATAATTAATTTTTAGAATGAAACTTTAAAATAATAAATAATATCAACCGAGTAAATGCAAGTCAATATTCGCTTCCAATGGAGAGGGAAAAAAAAAATACAAAGCAAAACATAATCACTATGACCTAAAATGGTGAGAATATATATATATATATTTGAACATGAGAAATTTATGAGAAAGAGGAATAATTTGATTGCTATTGTAACAAATAAAACTCTGACATTTGCCAAAAGTTTAATGCACCTTAATCAAAACAGCTAAAACTGTAGGTGCAAAAAAATACTGAGTGAATCACTTTACATTAGATATATGAACAAGGTTAATGACACTATTCATCCTTATTGTCTTTTAGATATTGTTTTGTTGTTCTGGTTTCGGGTCAAAACAAGGCCTTGACAAATCTGCCAGTCCCATTCAATGTTTGTTGGCAGATAAGAGATGAGGTAAGCACCAATGTTTGCGTTCGGTTCCTTCAACATCTATATGATTGGCGTGAAAGAAAAGGAAACGAAATGCAGCCAAATTAACAGATTTCAGCATTCGGACTCATCTGTAACGGTTAATTGTTGCTGAAGAACACAAGGGATGAACAATATATAAGCTACAGACAATTACATAAACACCACAGGCCAAAAAACTTAAGGTATGAGTAATATAAGCTGTCTTAAAATAGTCAAAAGACCTAAAAATTGCAGATCTTTCTTTCTCTAGCGTATCCAATAGTAACATTTATTCAACCACTGCAAGATCACACTGGCGAATTCTTCATTCTTCTGTTCTTTGCCGCTTGTATGCTTTAAGCCCCATATTAACTCCATTGATCATGTCCGTCTCTGGCGTATAGATATGAGAGAACAGCCCGGTTTAGAGACTAAGTAAAGAAAACAAGAATGAATAGAATGATGAACAAAACAAGTAAAAATAGTATCATCATAATCTGCCCCTTAGCACTAGCCTTCTTCATGACCATGGCCACTTTTTTCTGCAAGAGAAAATAAGAATTAGTTTCATAAAATTGATACTCTTAAGGTTAGCTGCTTCTGGATCTTAAATTTCAAAATAATCGAACATAGATGGGATGATGGGATGGTTTAGAATTTGCCTTCATAGAAAATGATATACTAGAGAAAGAAAATCACCTGAACAAAATCAAGACGATTCGATGTACTTTCCATGTCCGTGCCCAACTCATCTATGATCTTCTCCTGTCAAACAACAAATCGTCAATTAATTACATAGGCCCATTGTATATATAATAAAAAGAATGTAACTTGTTGCTCCAATAAGCTAGAGGGAAATAAGTGCACAATTAGCTTGTTTGCTGATCTAATGAGGAAAATTGTGGCAGCAATAAATAGAAGATCAACCATGTCGATAAGTACCCACTTGTGCACTGAGTTCTTCATGTATAGTAAGTCCAACGTTACCAATTCTCTGAACGCTCGCACTAAGCTCATCCAATTCCTCATCTTGCTGCCTATAATAAGAAATTAACAGAAATTAGAAAATGAGAAAAGAAAAAAAAAATGTAACATGCAGATGTAAGAACCTAAACCGAGAGTGCCACAATTGAAACTGACATATTTGTATCGCTTGAAGCCTGTTAAATTCATCTTCTTTCATTTGTAAAGCTTGCCTTTACCTTAACAAAGTTCAAATGACAATAAACAAAGGTAGCAGCAATAACAGATCACACACTTGAAATCAATAGATATGACAATTTTTAAAATTTAGTTTAACAAAAGAGCCTCTTAACCACAGTGAATGTAAAATTCAATGTCATTTCCTTAACTAACAGCAGCAAAAACAAATAAACATATTGGAACAGTTATGGAGAGACTTATGTTTTCACTCTTCAGTATAATATATACAAATCTAGGTAGAGTATGGTAAATATGATAATAAAGAAAGAAAGAAAAAATAGCTAGACAATGATCCACTCACAATAAAATGTCAAGATGACTAAGATACTTGATAGTTAAAAAGAACACCTCATGGAACTCAATATTGGTTCATTTACAGCACTGCAACAAGCTCAGTCTAAAATGCATTTCATCTAAAAGCAAAAGCAGTTAGCACACAAAGCAACCTCTAGAAACAAAAAAGGCCCATGTGCATAAAGTTAAGCAAGTCTGCATGCATAATATAAGTGACACACTAACACAGACAGAATGCATGCACAGGTAACAGCAATTTAAGAAAAAGACTCTACTTTATAAGCAGCATTTGTCTATCTGATTCTGATGCTATAAAATCATCATTGTCCCGGTCATAGTAATCATTGGATTTATCAGGCTGATGAGAATTTGGAAGCCTCATCAATTCTCTGTGCATTGCACTTGCGCTATTACCATTCTCCTTCCCAGCTACAACATCTTTTTTCACATTGCCTACCTGCAACAATAGAGAGGAATGAAGAAAAATGATGAGATTGGGGATTCCCAACACATTACAACTTATATAAAGCTATTTAATATATGGGTTATTCTAACCAAGTTAAGGGTGCTTTATTGCACTTTTTCACCATTAATTTGTATGGAAAATTATAAAAGTAAACTTTATTTTCAACAGACAAGTGAAATGATTTAATTAAACAGTTGATAAAACTAAAATCAATTTTTATTTTTTTATGCAAAATTGTAAATTAATGGTGGAAATGTGCAACAAATTAACCTTTGGGCACATGTTAGAAAATTCCTTAATATACATAGCATTGCTGAACAGTGAACAAATCTCCAGTTTCAATGAAAATATGATACCTGTGCTCGGGCGGTGCTTGTCCATCTTCTTCTTTTTTCAAGTTCCACTTCATCAATCCCATACCAAGCAGGGTCTCTTGCAGCCACAGCAATTGCTTTGTCCAATTCATCCACCTTCCTATCAAGAAAGAAGCCACTCAGAAATAGCAAATACAGAACCAAATTGTCTAATCAACCCAACAGATTTATCAAATAAACCCCAAGTCACCCAGAATACCATCATCCTCCAAAATTCAAACATATAGCAAAAAAAAAAAAAAAAGGATGATTTATATACCTGCCACTGAATGCTCTCACAACTAGCAAGCAGCTCTTTGGTGAGATTCAGTCGTTCCCCAGTATCAGGAGCAATTCGCTCCCATTGCTGAAAGCTAGATTGCAATTTATCGATCTAACAAACAAATCCACCATAATGTCATCAAATTAAAAATTATACTAAAACTGATGTTCTGGATCCAAAAGAAACAAGACATATATACAGTAATTTGGGAAGAAATCTTACAGATTCTTGAATCTCCTCTTTTACGATATAGAAAGGATCTTGAGCCGAAGACATCTCCTGCAAGAAGTGAAGCAACTGATCCTCGAAAAAATCGAAGAATAAGTTCGATCGGAGTGGACCAAGAAACAATTTCCGATCGGAGACAATTCACGCGCATATAAACTGGAGATCGGAACCGGATCGGACCTTCATCGAATTTCTACTTCACCAAATTGATTTCTGAAAGCCCTAAAACGGAGAGTGCGGCCCTTTGACGGGTTGCGCCGTCGAACGCCTCTCTGGGCCTCTTAAAGTTTAGGGTCTATTTTTTATGGGCCCCTCATTTGGGCTTCTGGATTGGACCTTCAAGGCAAGAATTTTTATTAATATGTAGTAGTAACAGAAAAGTTTTTGAGGTTGCAAAAAATGGAAAGGTTTTCGCAACTAAAAGACTACCATGAATTATAATGATAAAATATAAATATTTTTAATGAATTAATATTAAAAAAAGAAGATTATTTAAAAATATTTAAATAATTTTGTAGATAGTCTTAATATTTTAAATATATGATATTTATTCTTTTCAAAGATTTTTACATTAGTCAATATAGTTAGAAAAGATAAAAACACACTTTAGAGCATGTATAATGGGAATAATTAAAAAACTCACTTTGATGCTATGTTACCACAATTAATATTATTTTAAATAAAATCACAATTTTATATATTTAATTTTTAAATACAACATCTAACAGATTCTCTCTTCTCTAATACGTATTCCTAAACAAAGTTTTTTAAAAAATCACACAAATATTATTTTATTTTATTCACAATTTATATATATACAAAATTTTGAATAAAAAAATTAAAAAGAAAAAGATTGCAATTGTTAAATTCAAAAATTCAACAATTGCAAGAAAATGACAAGTGCGTATATTAAGGGTTTAACGCGCATGTCAGATCTAGTCAAATATGAGGTTTAGACTTGAATAAAATCATTTTAACTTCTTTTGAGTTTTAAAAAGTTTGACCAATATGTCTCTCTACACATAATAAAGTTGAATTTTGAATAATGCTTTAAATGACAAAACCCTATTTTTGTTCTCTTTTGAGAAGGAATGATGGAAAGGAACTCCTATTATAGGTGTTCTTATAAATAAAGGAGCTTGATGCAAGAAAATTCATTAAGATATTTTTGTCTTTTTCTCCGCAAGTCAATTATATTGATCCAAAAAAATATCTGCCTTTACATGTCAATAAATAGTGACAAACTAAGACTGATATTTCTAATAACTGATCAGCTAAGGTAGTATTCTTTTTTTAGAGATATGGGTGAAGGTGCAAATGAGTTGTATCAAGCTCAAGCTTATCTGTATAAGCATATATTTAGCTTAGTACGCTCAATGTCTCTCAAGTGTGCTGTGCAGCTAGGCATCCTTGATATAATCCATAGCCAAGGGTAATCTATCACCCTGTCTGAGTTGGTCTCAGCCCTTCCTATCCATCCAACCAAAGTGAACTGCGTGTACCGGCTTATGTGCATGTTGGTGCACTCAGGCTTCTTTGCTACTGCGACAAAACTTCAAGGAGACAAAGAAGAGGAAGTGTATGTTCTGACTCGTCCTTCTAAGGTTCTCCTCAAGGATCAGGCCAATTGCTTGTCCCCTTTTGTCCTCGCAATGTTTGATCCTGCTCTCATGACTCCATGGCAGCTCTTAGGAGACTGGATGAAGGGGTAGAAGCTCACTGCTTTTCAGAGTGTACATGGCATGGGGTTTTGGGACTACATGGATCAAAACCCTGAATCCAAGAACTTTTTTCATGAAGCAATGGCTAGTGACTCTCAGATGATGAATTTGGTCGTCAGAGACTGCAAGCCTGTGTTTGAGGGTCTGAATTCACTTGTTGATGTAGGTGGTGGCACTGGATCGATTGCCAAGATCATATCAGAGGCATACCGCCGTTGAAATTCTCTGTGCTGGAACTCCCTCATGTTGTGGCCAACTTCCCGGAGAGTTCTGGTAACTTGAAATTTATTGCTGGTGATATGTTTGAATCTATTCCTTCTGCAGATGGCATTCTACAGAAGGTTTGTGGCAATATTTTCCTTATTCATTGACTAGCAACATAAAATTCTCAACAAGAACTTCTCTCCTTGTTTGAATCCTAACATTACCTGCAAAATCAGGAATTAGTTCATAACTTCACTTTATATCTTGATATCATAAACACTCAAAGCTGGGACATCAGATATCTCTAATCTCTGTGATGCTCCTCTGTTATCTGTGCTTTATTTTTCTGATGGTGATAAAACATGGTATTGGGCAGCTTGTTTTGCATGCTTTTGGTGATGAAGACTGCATAAAGATACTGAAGAGATGCAGAGAAGCTATCAAGAGTAAGGGAGGAGGAAAGGGGATTATCATAGATATTGTTATAAATGAGAAGAAAGATGAACATGAATTAACGGAAGCAAAGCTATACCTTGACATATTGATGATGGCTTTGGCTGGTGGGAGAGAAAGAAATGAAAAAGATTGGGAAAGGCTGTTCATGGAGGCTGGATTCAGTCACTACAAGATAAGGCCAATCTTTGGTTTACGGTCCCTTATTGAAGTATCCATAGAGGGACCATCACCCATTCCTTAACGCATTATTATTGCTTGTTTCTTATACTTACAAGCATTTCATGTTGTATTGAAATAATTGAATTTTTCATATTCCATGCAGACAAGAATAGATTTTGATTACATACCGTTAGCATTTGAAACTTGAAGCTGTCTTCCTCAAGTCTTTACATGAACTGCAAATTCCATAGGAAAAAGTGGACATGAAAATTTCAGTTCTTAATTCACAGAATATAAGAAATGAAATGCATACAAATATGACGCCACGAGAAACTGAAACCCAACAGCCAAACAGCATTAATGCACATGAAGGATTGCCCTTATTTGCTTTAATGGCTGTCTTATTACCGCATAAATTGGGAATAAAAATTACAAGTTATCTTAAATAAGGAGGAAAGTCGAAGGTGCCTTGTAAAAAATTCAAGGCAACAGAGAGAATCCTCTACTTGTAGAAGTAAGCTTCCTAAAAGAATTCGATGTTTTGTAAATGAAGTAACGAAGTTTCAAGCAAACAAGTCACGATTTAAACCCATCAATTTCTCTCTTACCATCATCAGGTTCCCACACAGTGACATAAAGAAAAATAGAAAGATGTTTTTCAAAAAAGAGTACCTTGATCTGTTATTTGTCCCTAGTGGGTTGCTGATCATGTTTGCTTACCATCTCTTCCTCCTTTACAGATACCTCAATCTCCCCCACAAAACAGCCATGGGGTTTGAGAACTTCTACAGAGAAATCTGGGTGGAAAAAACCATGACGGCAAGATTATTCTCTCTTTCTCTCCATCTTTCTTTCTTTTTCAATCACTTGGTTTAATGGGGATGGGTTATTTGCATTTTGCAGGTTGGTAAGGCTGATAGAAGGGAATTGGACACAGCTCTATCAGTACTTTCATCAAACATATCAGCTGCAACTTTCTTGGCCACAGTGTCCTTGACTCTCAGCTCCCTGATTGGAGCCTGGCTTGGAAGCAATTCAGACACCGTCTTCAGAAGTAATTTAATATATGGGGACACACGGCCTGCCACCATCTCCATCAAGTACATCTGCCTCCTGACCTGCTTCCTTCTCGCATTTGCATGCTTTGTTCAATCAACCAGGCACTTTGTCCACGCAAACTATCTCATAAGCACGCCGGATGTGGACATTCCGGTGGATTACGTGAAGAGGGCAGTGATCCGAGGCGGTGATTTCTGGTCACTCGGGCTCAGAGCACTCTACTTTGCCCTCAATTTGCTCCTCTGGTTTTTTGGCCCCATACCCATGTTCATTTCCTCCGCCGTCATGGTTCTCATCCTCCACTTCCTTGATGTGAACACAAAACCAGTGCCCCACCACCACCACCACTTTGACAAGATCACCGGACATCACCGCAGTTCTGTTATTGTCTAAACTAAAAATCTCCATCCCCATGAATTAAATTTCTTCTTTTTTTAAAAAAAAAAAAAACCAATTATGTAATGTTTGAGCTTAATTCAATGACAATGGCGATTGAAAGAACTTCCATTTCTTCTCTAATCTGTCCACTGTATTTTGTCTTGAAATCTACTGCTTCGCTGCCCAAAATCATGTGCCGTGGATTCATCTACAAGCAAAAGAGAGTGCCATTTAAGCAAGCAACTGGACTTAGGATTACTTTACCTGATTAAGTTGAGTAATTTTCAATTAAAATTGCCTTTTAAAAAACAAAATCAGCTTGACTTGCTCTGATTAGAAGACAGCTCAATTGTTAAAACCCTGTCATGCCTTTCATTACAAGACAGGTTCTACATGATTCTCTGGATGTTCCACTTCGACTAGGAGAGTAGGCTATGAGATTCGAGCGTTGATAATTGGATACTACAAAACAACCCGAGGTTGGAAAGGGTGTAATTTTTTTATAGGGGATAAGTCTAACCCCATCTTTGAGTTTAGAGGAAGAGAGGAGAGAAAAATTTTATTTTATTTTATTTTTTTAATTTCTTCTATTCTTTTTCTTTTTTTCCCTTTATTTGAATAAATAATTAAATTAAAAAAATTTTAACGATTTATTAATATGCATAAAAGTAATTGAATAAGTAAAATCTTAAATTCAAGTCTTTTAAATAAAGATATATGTGTCGAAAGAGTTTTTTCTTTCTTAAGGTTTTACGTGATCTGATTTCAGATTAACTTGATTCCAAATTAATTAGAACTCAATGTGCTTATAAAAAAACTAAAATAAAGAGAAATTTTCTCTTTCCCTCCTCTTTAATTTTTTTGTAATCAAATAAAAATTATTTTTCCTTTTCACTTCTCTTAATTCCTTTTAATTTAAACATATTATGAGGATCAACTCTTAAAAAATTAATTCTTTTAATATACCTGCTGTGCTTAAGATAATGTGAAGAGGGATTAATCTCATAGTGGCTAAAAGCCAACTAAAGAACACTTGACCTCCTTATAAATATATATATATATATATATGTTATTGGATACTATTAGAAAATAATATGCAAGGCTCTGGGTTAGGGCACATGCCGTTTGACAAAAATGGACAAAAGCTACCAAGCCCAATAAAAAACTTTGGTTTCGAAATCCAAACTGAGTAGCTGGGCCCAATCCAATTGATTTTGGATTTGACTCATACACAATAATAAAGTTAGTAAAATGCTTTAAAAATTATATTGAGGTGTTACATCAACAATAATAATAATAATAAATAATTTATTTATTTTTATATAAATTTTATATATTATATTTATATAAAATTTTAATTATTTTTATTTTTAATAATTAAAATTATTTTTTAAAATAAATATAAATAATTTTTAATTATTAAAAATTAAAAATAAATAATTAAAATTTTATATAATCATAATATATAAATTTGGCATATAAATAAATTAATAAAATATTAAAGTCTTGAGATTAAATTCTACACTCACTCAAAAAATGGTAAAGGAAAATTAAGGGAGACTTGGACTCGGTCAGAAATTAATCTCCATACCTATAAATTAATTATTTTATAAATTTTTTAATTTTACAATGAAAATTATATTATTAGAATAACAATACTTATCTCCAATGTCGGGACGAGAGTTCCCTCTAATCTTACTTTAGAAAAACTTTTTGTCTTTAGTTCACCTAAAAATCTGGTAACGACGTGAAAGGTAAAACAGGCAGACCCAACTGACGAAGGCAATCAAGCAAAACGTACAGTGGCCTTGAGAAAAAAAAAAAAGGAGAAAAAAAAGTACGACGCCGTTTTGACCTCATATGATCTGACTGACGCCGATGCAAGAGGGTCTAATCCCCCGCTCTTTTTGATTCCCTGACCCTCTCTGATGCAGTCTTAGCCGTACGATCTGTGGTGGCCGATGATACCCCACCTCACGGGTAGCCGACAGCTTCTGATTAAAGACAATGACAGGTCTAGTTCCATTTTGGCAAGTCTAACGTGGGCCCTTCCCACCACACATCTCCCGCCACGTGTCCCCCGAATCTCCGGACAAGACAAAAATCAGTATAAATAATAAAAAATACTATAATCATACGAAATATATATATATATATATGTTATTGGATACTATTAGAAAATAATATGCAAGGCTCTGGGTTAGGGCACATGCCGTTTGACAAAAATGGACAAA